CACAGTGACACTGTACTGGGTATAATTTCACACCTTTGTGAAATACAAAGGATTTGGATTTTCGCAACATTTTCACAGTTTTAAAATATAAACTCATAAACCGGGTGGATTATCATGATTATAACCCCCCCCCCCCGATTCCCTAGTGCCGTCTGCATGAACTTCATATTTTTTTTAAACATAAGGTTGTATGTTTCAATAACAATTACATTTGGATTCACAAAAAAAAAGACTGATCTTAATGACTTTCCCTGTATATGTCGGTCTTCTACAAATACAAAAAATAGGAATGTTAACGCTGTCCTATATGTACTGTGTACATGTCTCTCAAAAATTACGACGAGCTACATGTACATGTATTTCAATGCGTAGTTAATCCCATACGTTGACAGGGGTGGCTATAGAGGTAAAATGGTAGAAATAATATTAATTCTTTTACATATGTATGCATGTATAGCAAAAGGACGATATATCAATTTATTATGCACAACGGTATGCACAACAAAACACCCCGTTTCATCTGTATACTATTATTATGCGGATTTTTTTTTTTTTAATTTTTCTCTTATTTTATTTGCACATTAAGAGTTCTTTAAGTAACACTTTAAACTGCATACAAATATTTCTACTACTCAGTGTTTTCATTTAACACGCTTTTCTCATGAACATTGTTCGTACTTACAAGTATGCTTTCAAGCGGAAATGCGCTGCAGTTTAAAGTGAATTTTGCCGATTTAAAAAAACACAAATAATAATACGAGAGAGAGAGAGAGAGATTTACTGCACATTGCCTATAAACATGTTTCAGAATATCTAGATCTTCCATTTATCGAATATTTATCGAAACATATACTATGCGTTTCATTGTAAAAGTGATATACGGTATATAGTCATTGATTTAGAGAAATAAAGTTTATGCTTATGCTGAGGATATAATTTATTTTTTTTTTAAACCTGTTTTAAAAACTTACATTTATCAAACATCAGAATAACTTGGGAAAACAATCATGCGCTATTTTTTTTTTTTTTTTGAAATTCTTCGGGTACATGTAGTACGTTTATGTATCACTGTATGATATTTTTAATAGCACCATTTTTTTTTTTTACTCAAAACCTGCAATTTTATAGACCGAACAATATGCAGTTATAGATATTATACGGCCGTACAGGTAAAATAAATCCGATAAGCCAGTCAACGGTAAGTCACACCGCCGCGGTCTATACCTGGCTACAGGTAGGACCGCGATGAAATAACCGCGGGGGTGTATCGCGGAAAGGATCAAAACACCGCGGGGGGAGCGCGGTTTAATGCCTAATCCGCGTTGACCGTACTGTACATTTCAAATAGGCTACTATATTTGAATTTGGAACTCCTTAAGTACCCTTTCAGATCGATAATTATATGAATTCTTATTCATTGTTATATGACTATTTATAATGTTGATTTAAAAATTACATCAGTGGTATTTCTTTTAAATGAAAATGAGGCGACATCATTTGAGCCCTTATATTGAGAATGGGTGATCAGAGGACAACAAATATCTCTTGGAACCACTCGCCCTCAAACTGAGTACCCTGAGCTATGAAAGTGTATAGGAGAATAGACTACAAAATACGAATGTGGTTCATGTCATAGCTTCTTCACAACCATGCAGCCTGTGCTGTATCATTTACACACGATGGACAGAAAAATGTGACTTTATAACAGCATCAAAATATAAAGCTTTTCGACCCAAGAATGGTACGGTACAGTACAGACATGAGATATAATTTTTTAGTTGTCAATAAATTTATGACACTTTTTTACGAAGATTATGAAATTTTTCCTAGACTGTTAGTCTGTTTCATTTTCTTACAACTTGTTAAAAGTTTGACAAATAGAGAAAATTCGGTCGAACAAAGTTGTGTCGTGAAAAATGAGATAATTTAAAGCACAATATTAATATAGCTGGCCTGTGAATTTAAATGATGAAGAAACATTAGTAATTCAATATGAGAAAAAAATGTTGTCAATATTGAATTACTAATGTTTTATAAATTAATCATAATTTAATTACATTCTCCCTTCTAGACAGTTCATAACAGAGTGTATTATCCTGAAGAATCTAAGTTATCAATTACATAGAGTAGAAAATAGTGATTTTAACCTCTTATGATCCCATACTTTCAAAATCAAAACAAAAGCATGTTATTAATAAAATCAGGGGCTTGTTCAACAATTGCATATGCATACAAAAGTTGTATTATGGGAGTAATAAGTGTTTTCTGGCGATCGTTTGTGACAATAATTTTTACATTTTTAGTCTTCATGAAAATTCATGAACATTCATTACCTTGAACTATTAAGTTTTTTCTTTAAACTGAAAATTACCAATATTCATATTTGTTCATCATTTGTTCATGAACTATGAATTATGAATGTTTTCATGAATTTTATTCATGAACTACTTTTATGAACCTGTTAAGAATCCTTTAAGAACCATTCATGAACAATTATGAACAACTCATAAAGGTTCTTAAAATCATGAATATCATTTCGCAGGGGCAAAAGTCTCTACACTTGTTGTGTTATAACTTTGTAACTATATGGTCCTATATTTTATCGTCTTATCAAGACACAGCATGAAATAATTCCTTATTTATACACATATTTTGGATTTCTATTTGAATTGTAGATGTTTTTACATTATATATATATATATATATATATATATATATAGAAAGCACAAAGAAATTCACTTTTACATGGATACCCACTTCCGCCCCAGCCCGGGATTGAACTCTCGACCTTCGGAATCTGTCTCCTAGCAGTGCAGGAACAGCGCGCTAGACCGCTCGGCTATCTAGGCAAGTCAAAAAACTTGCTTTCGATGCCGATGGAATTCTCGCGGCGCTGCCCTAAACTACACGGTCATTGAGAATAAAAGTGAGATACAGTTATTTGGACATTAGTTTTTTAACAGAGGATTGTTACCAATACATGTATCTCACTGTATCTCACTTCTGTTCTCAATGACCGTGTAGTTTAGGGCAGCGCCGCGAGAATTCCATCGACATCGAAAGCAAGGTTTTTGACTTGCCTAGATAGCCGAGGGGTCTAGCGCGCTGTTCCTGCACTGCTAGGAGACAGATTCCGAAGGTCGGGAGTTCAACCCCGGGCTGGGGCGGAAGTGGGTATCCATGTAATTTAAGTGAATTTCTTTGTGCTTTCTATATTTATATTTCTTCACTAAGGGCAGTTATGTTAGTTTACGAGTTGTTGTAAAATGTGCTTTATAAATAATAATTAATTTCATTACAACATGTATTGGTAACAATCCTCTGTTAAAAACTAATGTCCAAATAACTGTATCTCACTTCTATCCTCAATGACTGTGTAGTTTAGGGCAGCGCCGCGAGAATTCCATCGGCATCGAAAGCAAGTTTTTTGACTTGCATAGTCGAGCGGTCTAGCGCGCTGTTCCTGCACTGCTAGGAGACAGATTCCGAAGGTCGAGAGTTCAACCCCGGGCTGAGTCGGAAGTGGGTATCCATGTAAAAGTGAATTTATTTGTGCTTTCTATATTAATATTTCTTCACTGAGGGCAGTTATGTTAGTTTAAGAGTTGTTGTAAAATGTGCTTTATATATATATATATATATATATATATATATATATATATATATATAAACTTCTTTTTTTTTAATTGATTCTATTGCTTTATATATATGAATATTTCCGAGAAAGAAGTCAGAAACTAGTGCAATTAAATTTACTTCGCGGGGCGGGAATTCTTATGAATTTTCACTTCCCTCAGAATTCAGTAAAGCAGATTGGTGACACATCAACAGTTAGATTAGCATTGTCATTTGGGGATATTGTACTCATCGATATCACCATAATCGTTATGCCCCTCATCGAGCTTTTAAAAAAAGCGTAAGTATCCTCAGATGTATCCAAAAATAAAGATGAATATTCACAGTTGGATAATTTCATTTTTTTGTGTCTTATATATTTAATTTGGCTGATCTTACACTTTCACCTTTATGATTTGCGACCAAGCAAATACAGACTGGCTTAAATACACGTAACATATTATTATATACAATTTTGGGTAATTAGAAACATGCTCGATCTAATGTGCTGATTGTTATTTTTATTTGGTATATATACTTTGTATTCTATCATGATTCACTGCCTATATTTTCTTTAGTTCGATTGCGGGGGGGGGGGGGGGCAAGACTGTGGAGGCTTTATTTCATTGACTTTAATTTTATTCATTAATAAGAAAAAATATCTTTTTTATTTGTGCATTGATATTCACTAGTACTTTTGCTTAATGCAACATACTGACCTCGATGTCAAAGATTTTGCTTACTAGTATGAAATGTACTACCAGTATGTATCAAGATTAAATATCAAATCACCTTTTCTTGTATATCATTTAATTCATTTGAAATCAGTTCAATTTAACATTTTATATTTATTATCGAATGACATATTCGTGTTCATTGATCGACCCTGACAGCGTTGAAAGATTTTATCCTCCACAGGCCATCCAACTGATTCTAGCTCCATATAACTTTGTGTCTGCCCAAAAGTATATACTTAACTGAACAGGCACGTAGCATCGATTTTGAAAGTGGGGAGGGGGGGGGGCAACCACTGATTTTTTTTTTAACTTACCTGAAAAAGTTGACAAGCAACAAAAAAAAAAAAAACGAAAATTGGGATGGGTAAGGTGAGGGGGGGGGGGGGGGGGGGGGGTAGAGGCAAACTTTTCGCACTACCAATTCCTTTCAACTTTCAATATCCATTTTTTAAGCTTACAGTACTATATTTCCTTCATATTACTTTACTTTAGTATAAAGTGGGGGGGGGGGAAACAGCCTTTCAATGAACATTTACAATAGTAAAAGTATTGTTGGCAAAAAAAGTGGGGGGCCAGGCCCCCCTGCCCCCCCCCCCCCCCCCCCCCGTTGCTACGTCCCTGCTGAAAGCCTACCTTAGTATTTTTTTGTGTAACAGTATTCACACGCAAATTATTACTGGTACTGGAATCTAGTAAAGTCCATACGTCAAGGTTGGTGTTTCTTGAAATGCTGTCTTTAACACTATGTTTTTTTTCATGTAGCCAGATAACGGGAGGCGGGTAAACGTGTTATCCAAAAACACCAGATTCACCTGTAAGAAATTTAAAAAAAATCACTAAATGGTGACAATTATGTTTTAGCTATAGTTATCTGATTTCATCTATTGTCGTCCTTATTTTAAAATTTTGAAAATTTTCAGATTCTTCTCATTCAACCAATTTCAACCAGTTTTGGTATAGAGCATCCATAGGTAAGACAAACAAAAATGTTAATTTCATTGCCCCTACCTTCTTCGAGACTGAAGGATGAGTGAGTCAAAAACCAGGAAAGTCAATGCACATTCGAAAACTTCAAGGAACTATTGGCATTATTCTAATGTGATATATGGCGTATTGTTGATAAGTTCATGCTAACTAAAATTAAAAAGATCTCTCTATTTGTTTTGTTACTTTATTAAAGACAAGACTTTCCTTTAAATTACACTATTTAAATCAATCGTGTTTCATAAATATCACAGATTTTAACCAATAACCGATTTATTTCCAGCTCGGAAATAAATATCAGACACAGTTTAAAGTCAATTAAACTAATAGAAATGTGGGGATATTTAAGTTCAAAATTGGTGAAAATTTGAATTTGAACGTAAATAACAAATACCATTTAAATCTATGCTTAATCTCGTATTTTTATTTCTTAGCTCGGATACGCCATATATAGCTTTAACAAGCAGTGAGTCTTTTGCCAAAATTATTTTATTAGCTCACTTGAGCTGAAAGCTCAAGTGAACTTTTCTGAACTTATTTTACTTCAAGGAACTATTGGCATTATTTTAACAAGCAGTGAGTCTTTTGCCAAAATTATTAGCTCACTTGAGCTGAAAGCTCAAGTGAGCTTTTCTGAACAAATTTTTCTATAGTCCGTCTGTCTGTCTGTCTGCCCGTCCGTCTATCTGTAAACCTTTCCCATTTTCGACTTCTTCTCAAAAACCACTGGGTTAATTTTAAGCAAACTTGATACAAAGCATCCTTGTATGAAGAGGGATTTGAGTTGTTAAAATGAAAGGCCAATTAAAGTCTCCATCAAAGGGGAGATAGTCAAGAAAATAGAAAACAAGAAATCTGTGAGCCAATGCTCACTTGTAATACCCCCGCTCTGATATGACTAACACTATCATGTTAATATACACAGGTTAAATTACAGGCAAATGCACAGAAAAATAGGATGTTGACATCAGATTCATATCAAAATTAATCCCACAATATGGCATGCCTCAACAAACAGTGTGCTAAATTTCAAGCATCTGATATGAGTAATTAATGAGAAAACTGCGACCAAAACTTGTAAACGGACAGAGACAGACAAAATATGTATTCCACCATATGGCATGCCTCAGGGAAGGTTGTGTTAAGATTTCAAGCGTCTGCAATGAGTAGTTGCTGAGAAAAGCTGAAAATTATGTGGAAGCATCCGGAGGTAGTGTAGATTCTAAATTGTTCAAATCATGACCCCCGGGGATATGGCGGGGCCAGAATAGGGAATCTAATTTTTACAAAGAAATATATATAGCTGTAGGGAAAAATCTTTTTAAAATCTTCTTCTCAAGAACCACTGGACCAGAAAAGCTGAAACTTATGTTGAAGCATTCTGATGTAGTGTGGATTCTAATTTGTTCGAATCGCTTTAGGATTGTCAAGATACGCATTACATAGAGGGAATTGTGTTAAATGACAGAATGGCCAAAGTTACTTAGGTGAGCGATGTGACCCACGGGCCTTTTGTTATATAAACGGTCAAAAGGTATAAGAAGTTCTTCGGTTAAAGTTATTAGTCATAGAGTAAAAATGCTAAAAAAATGAAAAGTATTTTCCATATATATGTTTCCGTAAACATTTCCATCAACGTTTATTGTCCCAAACTCTAATCTGAACAAAATTAAGAGGATTTACCAAAGATATTTATCTGATATATTACTTCTTTTGTTGGATAAAAAAAAATGTTGATCAGCCTTAATTAAACTAGATATACTTTTTAAACCCCAATATTCTTTAATCATTATATTTATGATTTTTCTAATGAAAAATTTCATGATCAAATTTTTAAAAATACAAAGAATAAAAATCAATACTTACATCTAAATCTTTTGCCTAAAAAATTGAAATACTAGTAAATTGAAAACATGTTATAGACTGAAGTTCAGTAATTTGAAACTACTAGTAATGATAAGGATAAAAATTTGTTTAAACAAATTCTATACGTGTTTCCATTTCTGTTTTAAGAGAGACAATCGTGGACTTCATTTCGCCGATAGTGGAATTCATTTTAATCATCATTTTCTCCAGTTCTATTCCTTTTGATTTCTCCATAAAAAGCTGCTCCAAAACATTCCGAATTGAATTGTCTCCATTTGTTGCTCTAACTAACTTTCAGAAGCCAGGTGTATAAAGAATAAGTAACATATTATTTTAAAGGAAATTGCAGTGGTATACGTCTTTATGTTTAATAAGACTTAAAATTCATGCATAATAATTTTCCAAAAATGTATACCTCATTTTTCCAAGAATTATCAGACAGACTGTTCTGCTTTAAAGCACATGTATATGATGTAAACATCTGTAAACATGTCTAACCATCTTTCAGATGCCAGGTGTATAACGAATAAGTAACATATTATATTTAAAGAAATTGCAGTGGTATAAGTCTTTGTGTTTGATAAGAGTTTAAAGCCATGCATAATATTTTGCAAAAATGTATAGTTACCTCATTTTTCCAAAAATTATCAAACATACTGTTCACAGACTATATCATAAAGCATATGTATAATATGATGTATACATCTGAAAACATGTTTGTACATTAAATGCTATTCAAAGAGAAAATGAAAGTCCAGTGGCATAGGGATCGTGCAAGGTATGCAATAATGTGTCTGGTTTAAAATTACTGATGTGTTTCTTAAACTTTGGAAATGTAGAGTGTAATTAGCAAAGATCTAGATCTTTTTTTTACATGAAGGTTGCAGCTGTGATTATTTTGCTATTTTGAAGCTACATTTCTATTTGTTTTGTTATTTATTTAGTAAGGATACATTACGTGGTTGAATCATAATAAGGTACTCCTGGGGATCATGATCCGTGTGATTAAAGCCCGTGTTCTCTTGTTAACTGTTCCTCATCCATATCTTGTTTTTTTCGTTTCGCCAGTACGATAATTGACAATACAAGTTTTTCTTTTGAACAACTACAGAGTTGTTTTTTTTTTTTACATACACTGAGTATGAAGTCTCGAACTTTGTCAGTTTGTGAACGAAAAAAAGAAAAATACTAAGTCATGGGTATACCCTTGAAAATTTTCTAGAATACAAAAAAATCATCATTTAATTATTTATTCCGAACAAAAACATTGTACTTGTAAATAAAACAAATGAAATTATCAAATATTTCTTGCACTTTTCCTGCACTCCGGATTCTCTCTTATCCGGCCAATTTTTATGGATTCAGTGGTATCCAGTGGGCAAATTATGCTGTAAAACATTAACATGTTATGTTAATTTTTACAACTACACTGTACGAGGGTTGTTAGAAAAGTTCGTGGACACATTGAATTACGGAAAATCTATTGTGTACTGTGAAGTATGGCCTATGTCTGAATAAATTCCTACATTTTGTTTATTGGTATGTAAAAAATAAAGTCCAAATAATGAAATCTTGAAAATCTACAACGATTTTTATTATGAGGTCATGGGATTCACGGAGCAATCACTTGACGTAAGGCGACGTAACAACCAGATTTCAACCCGTTAAGCTTTGTCGCAGTTCAAAAAATCTTTCATTTCTTCAGATTTTTCTTATCTTTTTTCTACTTTAAAATTGAATATCTAGATCAACATGTTACTTTTCTACTATAATGTCTTTTGTATTGATTTGGATATTATTGAGATCTTTAAAAAAGTCTATGCAGTTAATCGATCAGGTATTGAAACTATGCAAAACCATATAGGCGCAGAGCAACGTCCATGCAAAAAGGGGGTATTGAAGTGTCACCGCAGTTAATCATTCAAAATGTTAATCCTTCCATTCTTATGAAGCTACAACCATTTGAAAACTTGTCCTTTGTATGTGTAGGAAATTCCCGGCGGAATCGTGAACATTTTAATCTCTTTTTAGACATTTCCCTGTCCGCACACATAATTTTTACGTACTGCAGTGCTTCATGACGCTCAATGACGTTCCGATTTTTGGCTTTGTTTTTACGCGTCGATCAATCTTAAACGGCTATAAAACAGTCATATACCGTCCAATTTAGTTCAAAACTTCTCCCAGTGACGTTTCATGTATACTTTAGCGGCAGGTAAAATATCATAAATCTCTTTGCGCTACAATTGTGCAATTTTTGATTTTAAGAAAGAGTCTTTATAATGTAAACGTGCCAAAATGTAGCATGCTCCGTGAAGCAAGTTTTTTCAAAATAAAAAAGCTGTATATATTTCAATAATCACCGGAGAGCACCCAATTCTTGTATATTTATTGAAAAAGAGCTTAAGATTTTATCTGAAAAGTTTGACCAGTTTCGTGGAAATAGCGCGCTCACAATAGAACTTGTCCTCGAACTTTTCTAACGCCCCTCGTATGTCCGACCTAATTTCCTTATATGGAAGCTCATTATAATCTTAAACTGATTATCTTTCGTTTTTAGAAATTTACTGGACCAAATATACTGTAAGAGAACCTCGCTATAGCCCTCTAATGGAAATTGGTAACATTTCAAAATGAGGGGGAAATTCTTAATGGGACATTAAGCAAAAGAAAGAAACATCTGATGATAAGTTAATTTCTTTATATATATTTCTTTATTGAACATTTTTTTTTTCAGAATGACATATGCTGTACATGTTCATTGATCGACCATGATAGCGTTACAAGATTTTATCGTCCACAGGCCATCCAACTGATTTTAGCTCCATACAATATGGTATTGCCCCAAGGTTTTAGACTTAACTGAAATCCTACCCGGGTAACTTTTCGTGTATCAGTGCGCACACGCAAATTAGTACTCATACTGGAATCTAGTAAATAAAGTCCATATGTCAAGGTTGGGATTTCTTGAAATGCTGTCTTGAACACGATGTTTTTTTCATGTGGCCAGGTAACCTGAGATGGGTAATCGTGTTGTCCAAAAACACCAGATTCACCTGTAGGAATTTTTTTAAAAACAAATATCAGTAAATGATGACCAGTATGTTTTAGCTATAGGTAACCTGAGTCACTTAGGTGACCAATAGTTATCTGATTTCATCTGTTGTCGTCCTTATTTTGTAAATTATAAAATTTTTCAGTCTTTTCTCATTCACTTTCAACCAACTTTGGTATAGAGCATCCATAGGCAAGACAAAAAAAATGTGAATTCCATGGCCCCTACCCTCTTCGGGACTGAAGGATAAGTCAAAAACCATGAAAAGCAATGCATTTATAAAAAAAAAATGTTTTTTTTCTTGTAAACATCAAGGAACTACTGGCATTGTTATAACAAGCAGTAAGTCTTCTACCAAAATTATGATATGTTAGGTTAAAAGACTAGAGGTTCTTGTGTTAAAGTAATTGAACATAAATTGAAAACGCAAAATAAGTATTTTTCAATATACATAATTCCATTTCCAACGACCTTTATACTAGTATTATTGTCCAAAACTCCAATCTGAACAAAAAGTATAGGCTTTTAAAAATATATTTTTATTTTAGAAATTACTTTCTTTTGTTGGATTAAAAAATGCTGATTTGTTATAGTAATACTACATTTAATTTTTCAAACCCCAGCATTCTTTATCATTCTATTTATGATTTTTCTAATCAAAATTCTTATGATCGAATTGAATTTTTAAACTTAGAAAAATACAAATAATAAAAATCAATACTTACATCTAAATCTTTTGCCTGAAAAATGGAAATGCTTGTAAATCGAAACATGTTTTAGACTGACGTACAATAACTTGAAATTACAAGTAATAATAATGGGTGAAAATGTGTTTAAACAAATTCCATACGTGTTTCCATTTCTGTTTTAAGCGAGGCAATCGTGGACTTCATTTCGCCGACAATAGAATTCATTTTAGTCATCATTTTCTCCAGTTCTATTCCTTTAGTTTTTTCCATAAAAAGCTTCTCCAAAACATTCCGAATTAAATTGTCTCCATTTGTTGCTCTAACCAACTTTCAGACGCCAGGGGTATAACGAATAAAAAAATATTATTTTAAAAGAAATTGCAGTGGTATACGTCTTTATGTTTAATAAGACTTAAAATTCATGCATTATATTTTCCCAAAAATGTATACCTCATTTTTCCAAGAATTATCAGACAGACTGTTCACAGACACTGCCATGAAGCACATGTACATGATGTATACTTCTGAAAACATCTTCTACCTGTATGCCAAAAAATTAATGCAAAGATTAAAAATATACATCTTAAATTAAAAGTATGTAATAAAGACAAAAATATTTCTCTTAACAGTTATCTGTAACTATATATTTAAGAAAAAAAATAATAAATAATTCTAATTATCAATAAAACCTAATTTGAAAAACTGATATTGATTTTACATATACACATATCCATGTTATTACGAATGTGTATCAGGCATGAAAAGATCATTCTTTTTCTTCTTTTGACATACTGACTTTGCTTCTGTCGACATACTGACTTTGCTTCTGTCGACATACTGACTTTGCTTATGTCGACATACTGAATGACTTCTTCTGTCGACATACTGATTTTGCTTCTGTCGACATACTGAATGACTTTTCTTCTGTCGACATACTGACTTTTCATCTGTCGACATAATGACTTTGCTTCTGTAGACATCTGACTTTGCGTCTGTCGACATACTGACTTACTTCTGTCGACAATCTGACTGACTTCTGTCGACATACTGACTTTGCTTCTGTCGACACATTGACTTTGCTTCTGTAGACATCTGACTTTGCGTCTGTCGACATACTGACTGACTTCTGTCGACAATCTGACTGACTTCTGTCGACATACTGACTTTGCTTCTGTCGACACATTGACTTTGCTTCTGTAGACATCTGACTTTGCGTCTGTCGACATACTGACTTACTTCTATCGACAATCTGACTGACTTCTGTCGACATACTGACTTTGCTTCTGTCGACACACCGACTTTGTTTCTGTCGACATACTGACTTTGCTTCTGTCGACATACTGACTTTGCTTACTGTTACTGGTATCTCACATGAATCAATTAAACCAAATTAACAAAGTCCTATGGAATAATTGAACGGAAAAACATAACATATTGAATCTTTAATGATGTTGAAATGTTCATGTGTGTTAAACGCGTTTCTATCCGTCGGATTTAAACGCATGATGTCAAATTAAATCCTACATGTAAACTCTCTA